AAGACATTACACTCTCTGAAATAAGCCAGTCACAAAAAGGACAAATACTGTGTGATTTTACTTATATGACACACTTAGAGTAGTCAAAATCACAGGGTAGAACTAGAATAAATTGTGGCTGCCAGAGACTGGAGGAAAACAGAACAGAGTTACTATATAATGAATATAGAGTTCATGAGAATATAGAGACAGATAGTGGTGGAGGTTGCACAACAATGTGAATGTACTTAATACCACAGAACTGTAATTAGAATATTTTATCATACATTATATTTACATGTGGCTATATTTTATCACAAGATAAAGAATTTTAAAATCACTCAAGAAATCTAATAGATAAAAATTTAAAAACAAAAAATAGTTGAATAATTCAAGACAAAAAAGAAAAAATAAAAGAGTAAATAATAAGAAGACAATAAAAAATAGGGCCCAAACTCTATGGCATAGTCATTAGCACATTGGACTGCAAAGGTGGAAGCCACATGCCAACCATGATTCAAACCCCCAATACGGTCTGCCTGAAAACACACCAGGTACATGCATGCATGCCCAGGATCCTAACAGACTGGAGGAAGGTGATTGTGACCAAACCCTGTGGAGAGTGTGTCTGTACTTCTTGCCCCATCTATTTATTTCTGTCTTTTGTAGGCCCAGACATGGAAACTCATTGGCGAATGCTGCTACTCAGCAGACTGATGCTACCTAGGAGGCCCAGGTTTGATTCCAACACCCTAAAAAGTAGCGATGTGTACCTGCAGTTCTAGCTACTCAGGAGACTGAAAACAAATAGTAAATCAATAATTAAAGATAAGAAGTAAAAATGTACGGATGTCAAGTGTGAGAAAAGAGTATAAACAATGTATAGACAAATAATCTCTACATTTATTCCTGAAAACAAAAAGGACTTCTCTAGAAATCTACCCAAACATCTCACTGTGCCTCTTTTTCCTTTTTTTTTTTTTCCATATTTTTGCCAGAGGGGATGTGAGCTCACTGGAGAGAGACAGAGACAGAAAGGCAAAGTGAGAAATCACCTCCCAAGGGGGATGGCCATGCCACGGTCTCTTCATTCTCCTCTTGGGATTTTGCACAGGTAAACACACACACCTGGCTTATTTTTCAAGCCATCTGGTCCAGGACTCAAACTACTGAGTCAGTCATGCAGGATCCAGCACCTTAATAACAATGCTGGCCCACCTGCTAGCCCCTTCACTATGCCTTTTAAAGACATTCTTCCTGCCTTTGCTCTGAGGTCCAATTTATCCTAAACTATATGATAACTATGAATGGAAGAAGAGATGCTATACCAAGGAATCTTGAGGGACTCTCAGACAGATCCAAGGGGACACTGATGACATCACAACAATCACTACTACTTTAATTGCAGCCCTTGAGAATGAATAACCCTCCTCCCTCCTTCATTCATTTGCCCCCTCTTTCTGAAATCTTCCCATGAGGTTCACACTCTTCTGCTTTCAGCTAGTCTGCAGCAAAAGCAAGTAATATATAAACTCACCTAATAAACTTTCTCTAATGAGGAAGACAAGTTATTGGTCTAGATGCCTGGGGACTACTGAGGCCTCTCCTACCTAGTCCCTGATAAAAATGTCAAATGTCAGTTGAGGTCCACACTGTGAGGGCTGAGTTTAAGACTATGCTTTGCTTCTTTCCACAGGCTGTCACTATTAACAGAAGTGCCCTGTTGCTCTAATCGTTACTTTTGAGCACTTCAGGAAGACAGGAAAGTGAGTTTTGACAGTTAACTTTGCAGACCCTGTGATTCTCAGGGTCGGCCCTGGATTTTGATTCCTTGTCAGAGAAAAGGGGCATCAGTGAGAAGATAAAAACTTCATATTTATTTTCAGTTTTGTCCACACTGAGCTCTAATGAAGGGTAAGTAACTTTTTTTCCTGTCTAAGTGTCACTGGATTTTTTGCTGAGATAGCTACACATGTATACCAGCTCCAGTGAAATCTTTTATAAAATTAATATATTTTTGCAAACTTTTGTGAGTTTCTGGATGTTATTTCATCCCAGTATCTTCAGAATCATCATAATAAACTGTGTTATAATGAACTTTTGACTCTATTGCCCAACTACCCAGGCCTCCTTCAAGAAAACAAACTTCTCAGGCTAATAATTCAGATAGCAATGCCTAATTATGCAGAAATTTTAAACATTGCATAATCTGGTATTAGAAAACTATCTCATGTTGTACTTAATAACTCATGCTCTATAATGTCTTCAATTAAATATATTTCCACTGCTCTTATGTATATCCCAGGTAATGAAATGCCCTTTAATCATGTATTTTATTCATCTTGAATTATCAACACTACTTTCTTTTTATAACTTCTTTTATGTCAGACTAAACTATAGGTTTTTAAGGGCCAAAATATACAAAAAGAACAGGAAAATAAGTCTGAGCTACCAAAGAATGTTTCTTTGGTGTGTGAGATATCAGTGACTTTTAGCATAGTCTTTTAAGTTCACCTAATTGCTTTCTTTTTTAATTTAGAAAATTTAATTTAAGATACTTTAATTTAATTTAAAGCTCACTTAATTTCATTTTTTTAATTTAGAAAATTTAATTTAAATGACTTTGTAATTACAATTGATGTCAGTATTATTATGAAGATTAACACATATATTTGTCATCAAAATGAGAAAAAGTATCATCTGTGTCTAGCAAGAAGAATTGGCCTTTAGCAACACATAACTATATTATCTTTGCTTGTCTGTTTGACTTTTCATAATTGATCCTCCAAGCTTATTAAGACTCTTGAGTTTCCTGCAGGTGAACAATCAGAATTTTCAAAATTTGAGCAAGTCCATAGCTCAGTAGTTGGGATTCAGATCCCAATACAGAAGCTTGAAAAACATGCCAGGCAAGTGTGCATGCATGTCCAAAATCATAACAAGATAAAGAAAAATGTGACCACACGTCACTGCAGGGGGGTCAGGAAAGGCCTCTCTCTCTCTCTCTCTCTCTCATGTGCCCTCTAGCAATACTAAATAAGAAAAATGAGTAAATTTTGAAACCTATCATCTATGATATGTATATAGGACAAGAATGAGTCCTTGTAACAGAACAATATATTTTGAAACAAATTTTTAATCTCATTTAGAGCTCTATGGTAAAACAACTAAAATACTGCATGTATTTAAGGTAGTGGAGGTTCAATTGACAAATTAGAAAAGTTTAAAATGAAGGTACGAAGTAAAGTCAATTCAAGGAGTATTCTGAGGTAACTATTAACTCTCTACTCTCCAGAAGAATATTCCTATGACCTTTCTTTTCAGTTTCTATAGATGACTAATAAATCATTGATACTTTATCAAAGAAAATAATTCTTATGGGAACAACAGAGTCCATTAAAAAATTCCACAGTTCTAAAGTATCTGAAAAGTGTGTCAAGTACTTTCAACTGAGGGAAAGATATCAAAAAAGAAAAGAAAAAGTAGCTATTTCACTCCTAATTCTTGGTTTAAAAATTAACTCAGACCAAAATCTGTACTATTAGAAACTTTGAGTGGGGAGCCAGCAGGTGGCATGGAGGTTAATGGCACTGGACTCCCACATGGTCGACCTTTGTTCGAGTCTTGGACCTGGTAGCTTGCTTTCTCGCTTTCTCTCTCTCTCTCTCTTTCTCTCTCTCTCTCTCTCTCTTCTCTCTCTTTATCTCTCTCTCTCTCTCTCTCTCTCCTTCTCTGGTCAAATTAAAATTTAAAAGTAAATAGTTTTTTAAAAAATTTTAAAAACTGAGTGGGAAACACATGCAAACAAATAACTACTTTGCTACTGTTCATACAGAGTAATTCTCTATGAGCTTTCAAAATTTCAAAGGAAAGAGAGGATATTTGAAATTCTAACCCATTGGTTAAAAAAATAGTAATGTAGGGGCCAGCAAGTGGCATGGTGGTTAAAGGCACTGGACTCTCACATGGCCAACCACGGGTCAAGTCTGGTGGCTTGCTTTCTCACTTCCTCTCTCTCTCTCTGTCTCTCTCTGATCAC